CCTTGTGCACGACCCGGCGGCCCCGGCCGTGCTGCGCTCGCGGCGCGCGAGGGCGTTCCTCGAGTGGCGCGAGGTCGAGGTCGCGGCGAGGGCGTCGTCGGGCTCGAGCGCGAGGGAGGACTCGGTCGTCGAGCTGCCCGAGGTGTGGGGCGAGCGCGTGCTCGACGACGTCGAGGAGGGCGGCGGGACGGGCAGGCGCATGCTCGACTTTTCGAGGCGGGTCGCCGAGCGGCGCAGGGTCCTTGGGCGCCGGGCAGCGTGTGGCACGCGTGGCGCAGTCCACGAGGACGGCGACGACGGCGACGTGCTCGCCGCAAGCGACGACGAGGGCGAGCACGTGGGGGAGCGCGACACGGGCGCCGCCTCGTTCGCAACCGAGCCCATGACGCCGCGCTGCGCTCACCGGCCGCTCCTCTCGCCCATCACGACCCGCAGCGCCCCTGTGCCCACCGACTCGTACTTTCCCGCCGTCGCGGCGTCGACGTCGTCGACCTCGCCCGTCGACCCGCTCGCCCTCTCGACGCACTCGCTCGCGCCCTCGACGACCAACTCGACCTCGTCCGGGGCACCCTCGAGCGCACTCGCCGCATCGAGCGTCCTCGTCCTGCCCTCGGCCGACCCGTTCCACCTCCCCTCGCTCCTCCACCTCGTCGGCCTCAATCTGCGCCTCGCCGTCTTTGCGCCGAGCTTTGCCTCGGCCTCTGCGTCGTCGACGGGCTCGGCTACCTCCCTCTCGGCGTCGTCGTCGCCGTCGGCGGCGTCGAGCCCGAGGCGGAGCGCGAGGAGCGAGAAGCGCGAGGCGGCATGGGCGATCGAGAAGGAGAACGGCGGAGCGACGCAGGGCGCGCCTCGCCCCTGGGCATGGTGGCGCACCGCCGGCGTCGTCGGGCTCGTCTTTGCCGCCGGCGTCGCAGTCGGGACGGTTGTCGCGTCGGCGTCGGCGTCGGCAGCGTGCGAGGCGCACGCAGTCGGACCCGCCGTCTGGTCGTCGCGAGGGCGTCTTTGAGCGAGACTTGTTGCTTGTACTTTCGCGGCCCTTCATCCATCTCTTTGTTGCCTCTCCTACTCTGTCGGGCCATCGTCCCTCTCTCCCGTCCTATTGCCCTCGTCCTCCTCGAGTTCTCCCCCACCGTCTGTACCTCGCTCGTTCCTCTCTTTCTGTCCAGCGCACGGTCCGTCTCTCTCTGAGAGCGGTAGTCGCGAGAGACCGAGACCATGAAAAGGTTTTGCGAGAGCCGTGCGAGGTGCTACAACAAGGCGGGACACGACTGCGAAGGCGAGGACGAGGGGAGATCTACTGCTGAGGGGACGACGAGGCGAAACGGACGGGGATGCCGTACACGACGGGCGCGGCACCGTTGAGGTACTTGAGGTTGCACACGGTGCGCGACTGGGCGACGGCGGCCGTGAGCGAGAGCGGCCGCGACGACGATGACGACGACGACGTGGTCGGGCCTGGTTCGGGGGTCGCGATGCCGGTGCGCTGGAAGACGGACAAGGCAAACTTGTCGATATCCTTGTCGGTGACGTCCCACAAGTTGGCGACGAGAGCAGGGCTGCGAGAGAGGGGCGACCGTGTCAGTCAGAAGGTCGTCGGGGAGGCGAGGGCGAGAGAGAGAGAGAGAGGCGTCGAGACGCACCAGCCAGCGACCATGTAATGGTACGGCGTGCCGACGGGCTCAAAGTCGCCCTGGTCCTTGAGGAGGCCGGACGAGCAGCCCCAGAGCATCGTGACGGCGCATCGGGAGAGGTTGCGGATCGTCTGCGACCGAATGTACTGCTCGGCGCCGCCGTGGCCGAAGAAGCTGCGGGAACGAGTTGGGTCAGTTCGCGACCTCGAGCACAGACGCGAGAGAGAAGTGGGAGAGGAGGACGCACAGGAACAGCTCCTTGTTGAGCAGCGCCGACTTGACCTCCTCCTCGAGCGGAGCGCGACCCGTCACGCCCGACCATGCCCGCTCGTGCGCCTGCTCGTCGAGCCACGGCTCGAACGTCTTCTGCGTGTTCTTGAGGTCGCCACCGGGGTTGAGGACGAACGAGGTGCGCCCGCAGTCGACGACGACCTCGTGCGGCGGCGTCTCGGGCGAGGCGTGCGCGGCGGCGTGGTCGAGGCGGTCGCGCAGGAACGACAGCGACGGGAGGCGGCTGACGGACCGGCCCTGGAGGCAGGGGAGCGACTCCCACGGGAAGGCCTGCAGGTCCTGGTCGAGGACGAGGAACGTGTGCTCGTCCGGGTCGACGTGCGACTTGGGCGCCGACTTGGTGCCGTGCAGCTCCTCGAGCGCCTCGCGCAGGTCGACGACGACCTGGTCGACGTCGGTCTCGTCGCACGCGAGCGGGACGCCGCTGAATTGGAACGACTCGGCCATGAAGTAGAACAGGTCCTCGAGGTCCTCCTCGCGGGCCGACGAGGGCAGGGCGGCGAGGCACTCGACGATGCTGTCGTCAAGCTTGAACCGGGTCGAGCGCTTGTCGCCTGCGGCTCGAGACATGCTGCGCTTGAGGATGCGCTCGATGCGCGCCTTGAAGGCGACGAACGCGTCGGCGTCGGCTTGTCGGGCGTCGCAGAAGACGGCCTGCGCGAGCGTGAATGAGTCAGGCAAGGTCTTGACCACGAGAGGGAGAGAGAGTGTGTGACAGAGATGAGGGGCGCACCTTGAACGCTCCGAGCCAGGCGCCCTCGATCGTCTCGAGCAGGGTCTGCAGCCGCCGGTCGAGCTCCTTGCGCTCTGCCCACCACGCCGCTCGCGCCTCCTTGCCGTCGACGTACTTGGCGTTCTGCGTTCCGAGGTTGCTCGTCGCGATGATGTCCTTGAGCTCGTGCGACGCGACCTCGTACGTGAACGCCTCGTCCTCGTCGCCTTCTCGTCGGGCGAGGCGGTCGAGCGGCAACTTGAACACGAGCGGGTCGGCGTCGCGGCGGTGGCGGCAGATGATGAGCGAGTCGCGCTCGGGCGTGAGGTGGAGCGTGAGGGCGGTCCAGGCGACAGGCAGGATGGTCGAGAGAGGCGCGTCAACGAGGGTGGGCTCGGCCGTCTCGAAGCGGTACCGCTCGCGCAGGCCATGCAGGACGGCGGCGGCTTGGTCGATAGCGTCGGGAACGGGCGCGTCGACGACGGGCCACGTGAGGTCGTCTTGGCGCGCCTGGGCGGCGAGCTTGTGCTCGACGGCGTCGAGCATCTCGCGGCGGAGCGTGACGGCGGCGCCGAGGTCTGCACGTCGAAGGAGATGTGTCAGGTCGGGCGCGCTGATGTAGAGGAACGAGAGGGACGCACCGAGGACATGTGCGACGGTCGCGCTCGAGCGCTTGGTGACCTTGCCGACGCTGGCCTGCATCGTCCGCAGCGTCGTCGAGAGCGTCGACAGCTGGCGCAGCTTGGCCGGGTGCGAGCGCGACGAGCTGAACGTGATGGCGCGCGAGAGGAGCGCCTCGATCTCCTTGATGGCGTTGAGCACCGACGGGCCCGTGCGCGGGGTGCCGATCTTGACGACGGCGCCTGCGCCGGCCGCCGACATGCCGAGGACCGGCATCGACAGGACCGAGTCGGGGAGCATGCCGAGAACAGGGTCGGACGTGCACCGCACGAGGAGGTCCTCGAGCTGGGTCGACGCGAGAAGGCGGAGCTCGTCGGCCTTGTCCTCCTCGAGGGTCGCGAGACGGGCCAGTCGGCGAGAGAGGCGGTGCGCCTCGTCGTGCTTCTTCTGGATGCGGAGGAGGGCGACTGCAGGGGCGTGTGAGAGTGAGCTGGCGCTCACCAAGAGGGGAGGAGAGCGGAAGAGGACGGACTCTGCATGCGGAGGAGGTGCGCTTGGGTCGACGGGAGCACCCAGTCGGGCGCAGGACCGGCACGAGCTGCAGGCGACGGCGACGATGCCGCAAAGTGCACGCTTGGGCCCGAGATGCGGCGCTGAACCGGCGACAGGTGATGAGCCGGCGTGTGGTGCTTGACGGGACTGTGCGCGCGCGAGGGCGGGTCAGTACGAATTACGAGTCGGGCGCGGAAATTGGCGGGCAACTCACGAGCTACCGGCGTCTCCCTCGCTCGCCGACGAGATGAAGGCGTCGAGCGAGCTCTGTGCGGCGAGGCAGAACTGGAACGCTTCTTGCTGCAGCTGTGCGCGCTGATGCAGGTCGGCCTGGAGGCGGCGGAACTCGGCCATCTCGGGGCAGGTCGTCTGCGCGAGAGTAAGCGTGAGTACGAGTACAAGGAGGAAGGAGGAAGAGGTCGAGGGACATACCGAGCCAAGAAGCTCCTCGATCCGCTCGAGCTTGACGGCGGCCTCGTCGAGCTGCTCGCGATGCAGCCGCACGTCGACCTGGACCGAGAGCGCACGCGCCATCTGTCTTGACGACGCGAGGTCCTCGGCGAGGTTAAGGGCTTGCTGAGCGAAGAAGTCGGCCGACTTGGGCGTGCCGCGAACAAAGTGGACCTTGGCGACGCGCACAGTCGCGTCGAGCAGACCCTGCAGGAGACCAGCATCAGGGCCGTGGCAGAGAGATGAGGGGCGAAATGGGGCGCACCTCGGACAGCTGCCAGGAGAGGCCGGCGTGAGCGCCACCGGGCAAGGTCGTTCCCGACTTGCGCTTGTTGATCGGCGCGGCGTCGGCGAGAGCGGTCTTGTGGTCCACAGGAGGCGCCGAGAAGGTCGAGTCGGTCGAGGCTGCACCCGCGACAGGCGCAGGAGCGAGGCGCGACATGTTGTTGAGCGCGCGAGTCCCGAGTCGCATGGCCTGCATCGCTGGCGCGACCGAGCGACTCAGCTCGCCCTGCGGACGTCAAGAGCTGCGTGAGCGAGGCGTCGTTGAGGAAGAGAGAGCTGATAAGACGTACCTTGCGCTGAAGGATGAGGGAGCACACGCTTGAAGCCAAACTGGCGCGCTCGAGGAGCAAGGTGCGCTCGATGATCTTGGCCGTGGTGCTCGTGGCCGACACGTCCGCCTCGAGCGCGTCGGCGATCGTGAGGGCGGCCTCGTAGGCGTGCATGCTGCGGAGGGAGACAGGGTCAGGGCGGACCGCAGAGCTGAGGACTAGAGGGAGCCGGACGCACCTGCGGTCGGTGCTCCCGAGCATGGCGAGGTACTCGGCGTGGCCGAGCGAGTAGGCGATCTGCGCGACAGGCGAGGACGGCGTGTCGCCCTTGACGCCGGCCTGGAGGCGGGCCTCGGCTTGGGCGAGGACGATGCCGGCGCGCGACGTCTTGCCGAGGCGGAGGTACTCCCGCGCGAGCCGGACCGACGAGGTGATGTAGCCTGCGCAAGGACAAGGATCAGCTTGACCATAAGGACGGTCGTCGAGGAGGAGCGAGGGGACGCACCGTCGTTGACCTTGTGCGGGAGCTTGGCCGAAAGGCGCCGAAGGAACTTGAGGTAGGCGATCTTGAGGAGCACCTCGCCGAACGTGCCGAGGAACGACGCCATCGAGTCTGTCGCACAAGTTGGTCAGTGCCCGTCGCCCAGTATCGCGAGAGAGCGGCGAGAGAGGGACGGACTCAGAAGCGCGAACACGTGGTCGACGTCGTCGAGGAGGAGCTTGCCCGTCTCGAGACCCTTGACGGGCGTGCGGGTCGAGTCCTTGAGCTCGACTCGGCCCCTCGTCTTCCTCGGCGGCGTGACCTGCGGCTGCGGCGGTGGCGGCGCCGAAGCGGCGACAGGAGCAGCCCTCCTCGTGGAGGCGGACAGGGTGCGCGTCGTCCGTGCCGGCGTCGCGGCGGCGCGAGTCGGGCGACGTGCACGCGTCGCAGTGACCGGCTCGGCCTTGAGCGGGCTTGGCGCCGGGGTCGTGCGGGCAACGACGGGCGAGACACGCTTGGCGACGACGGCGGATGGCGAGAGGGGGAGCTCGCTGTCGGTGGAAGAGCGGAGGATGGTGATGGCGGCGCGAGCAGAGGTGACGACGGTCTCTTGAAGGGAAGGCGTCGGCGGCTGAGAGGCGTGTGCGTGGAAGGCGAGGAAGAGGTGCGAGAGGGCGAGGTACTGCTGGGCGAACGGTCGAAGGGCGGCATCGGCTCCCATGTTCTGCGCGACGCGTCCAGTCAGCGAAGACTCAGGCGAGCGAGTGAGGGGACCGGAGGAAGAGGAGGGACGGACCTCGCGCTCGCACAGCTCCCGGACCTCCTGCGCCAACTTGACCACGACCTCGCGCTTCTCGACCCTGCTGCCGCTCGCGCACGCCTGCAAGCGCCTGACAAGCACCCTCGCGCGGCGCATCGGCAGCTCGTCACCATCGTACACGCCCTCGAGGGCGGCGAGGACGGCGTCGCTCGCCCGCCGCGCCTCGTCCTTCTCCGAGTACGGCTCGAGCGCGACGAGCTGCATCTCGAGAAGCGCGCCGACGGCCGCGGTCGGGAGGGAAGTCGCTCGCGACGAGGTGGCGGCGACGAGGGGGACGGAGGACGAGGGAAGGAGGAGGTCGAAGACGGCGAGCCGGGTGAAGCGCTGGACGACCTTGTTGAGCGGCGCGTGGCTGGCGATGAGGGACGACAGGGCCAACGTGGCCGAGTCGGCGGCGAGCGCGTCGAACGTCGATGCGGGTTGGGCGAGGGCCGAGGCGATGTAGGCGTCGTAGGCGGCCTGCAGGGCGTGGCAAGGGTCAGTGCGACCGCCACGAGAGAGGTCGAGGCGCACGGGAACAGGACGAGGGAGGGAAGCTCACCTTCTTGTCGCCGATCTGGTGCTGCACGAGCGCGAGCAGCTCCCACCGCCGCCCCATGAGCCGCTCAAAATCCCTCGCCGCCTCGACCATGCCCTTCCTCTCCTCGTCGCTCCTCTTCCTCTCCTCCTCGCCGCCCTCGCCCGCCGCCTCGTCCCCAAGCCTGAGCTCCGCAATCCCTTCGAGCACGTCCCGCTCGCCGAGGAGCCCCTCGCCTCGCGCCTTGTCGACGACCCGCTCGCCGAGCTCGCACGCCTGGCGCACGAACCCAAGCGCGTCGGCCGCACGCCCGGCGTTGAACAGCGTCCCACCGATGTTGTACGCAGCACTCGCGAGCGTGCGCAGGCTGTAGCGGCGCTCGAGCTGCGGGCCTGCGCCGTCGCCGTCGCCGCCGAGGTCGACGAGGGCGCGCGCTCGTCGGAGGAGCGCGAGGGCGCGCGAGGGCGGCGACGGGGACGAGAGGTCGACGGCCGAATAGGCGAGAATGAGGAGCGAGTCGACGGCGCCGAGCGCGTGGTGGTCGCGCTCTTTGCGGCTCACGACGCTCTCGCCCGCCGCCGCCGCCGTTGGCTCCCCAGCGGGCGCCAGGACGACGGCCTCGGCATGCGCCGCGAGCGCCTCGAGGACAGCGCGCACGAGCTCGTCGACGTCGCTCGGCGCCGGGCCCGGCGGCGCGTCGGCGGGCGTCATGAGCTGGTCGAGGCGCGCGACGCCCCGCTTGGCGTGCTTGGCGAGGACGTACCTTGCGCGGTCGACGAGCTTGTCGATCTTGGTGCGCTCGGCGCGGTCGAGTGCGCTGGTGGGAAGGAGGAGGCGCAGAGGGGTGAGGAGCGGGAGGGCGCCGAGCGCGCGGCGGAGCGCGTCGGCGAGGTCGGCGGGGGGAGCGTCGGGCGTGCGCTGCGACGACTCGAAGAGGGCGAGCGAGTTGGCGAGCTTGGCGCAGAGGTGGCTGCTCTGGACGGCGGGAGAGATGGGCGCGGCGGACGGGGACGAGGTCGTCGAGGAAGGGATGCCGAGGAGGGCGGACGCGCGCGAGACGAAGGCGAGGTCGTCGGCCTGCACATTTCGAAGCTCGTCAGTCTCGCATCGCGACGGGTAGGAGAGAAGCAAGAGGGCTGCTGGGACGGACCCGCCGCGCAATGTGCAACACGACCTCGCACAGCTCCCTCCACTTCTTGTCCTCGCGCGCCCCCTCACCCTCGGGCAGCCCCTGCCGCTCGAGCTCGCCGACGACGCGCTCGAACGCGCGCTTGACTTCGGAGCCGATCTTGGGCGCCGAGTAGCCGAGGGCCTCGGCGGCGCGGCCGTACAGGAGGAGGACCTTGCGCAGCTGGTCGTGGAACGCCGAGAGCTTGTCGGGTGACGACAGGGCCGAGGTCGAGGCGTAGCACAGAAGGGCGTAGATGCGCGTCGAGATGAGGACCTCGGGACCTGTAAGGACATTCAGGCCTCAACGTCAGGGACCGCACGCTGTTGAGCGTGGCAGAACGGACGAAAGGGCGAGAGCTGCACCCACCGGCCTGCCCATCGAGTCCCGCACAGCCCTTGGTCACGGTCGCAAACACGCCCGTCATCATGCCGTCCAACCTCCTCGCGATTCCCTCGCGCTCGCGCCCCTCGAGCTCCTGCTTGCGGCCCTCGGTCCTCCACAGCGCGTGCCACTCTGTCGGCCCGCCCTCGCCCTCACCCTCACCCTCGCCCGCGCCGCCGCCGAGCGTGCCCGCGAGCTGCTCGACGAGGTCCGTCGCGCGCACGTCCTGTGAGCGGAAGAGCGCGGCGAGGAGGTACTGCTGGACGGCGAGGACGAGGGGGACGACGTCGGCGAGCGAGGGGCGTGCGGCGGACGGGTTGAGCGTGTCGGAGAGCGAGGGAGGGGCGAAGAAAGAGGGTGGTGGGAGGGGGATGAGGAGTGAGGGAAGGTGCGAGATGAGGGAGGCGACGCTGGTGGAGGCCGGAGGAAGAGGGGGAGGCGCTGGGGAGGACCACCAGGAGAGGAGGGTCGCGCGCATGGCCGACAACTCGACGACCGCAAGGCGGTACTGTGCGCCGAAGAAGGGTCAGTCGCTCGAAGCTCGGCGAAAGTGAGGCGAGGAAGATCCGCAGCGCACCAAGCCCATCTCGACAAGGTGCGCAACGACGCCTCCCGCCGCCTTTTCGACGTCGACCCTCTTGCGCCCGAGCACGCCCTCGGCAGCAAGCGCCCGCAGCTCGCGCAATGCGCGCCCGGCCTCACGCGCCGCCTGCTCGACCTTGTCGCGCGTCGCGGTCTGCGCTGCGCCCGCCCGGAGCGACGACGAGGACGAGGCTGGGCGGACAGCCGAGCCCGAGCGCGAGGACGGGGTCGATGTGGAGGAGGACGATGGCGCTGGCGTAGTGGAGGAGGAGGTAGTGGGGACGGCGCGGAAGCCCGACTCCTTGAGGGCGGCGAGCGACGACAGGGCGGCGTTGACAGCCTTCATGGCGTCGCGGGCGCGTTCTGCCGGCGTGCGCGCGTCATGTTGGACGACCTCCTTGGACCGAGCTGGCGCGAGTCGCGGCCTTGCCGCTGCAGGAGCTGTTGAAGAAGAAGGCGGGCCGGTTGAGCGACTGGCGGCCGTCGAGCGACCGCCCGTCGGCGGCGGTGGTGCGCGCGCCGTGCGGGTCGGCGAGCGCGACGTCGAGGCTTGCGGGCGCGGTGGCTGGTCGACCTGGAGCTGCGCAAGGTCGGCGGCGAGCGTGTTTACGTCTGGCGGCGCGGTCGACGAGGTTGGCGGTTTGGCTGCGCGAGCGGGCGCGGCGCGGCGGGTCTTGGACGGTGCCGGTGGCGGGCGCAGTGCGCTCATGGCTGGCGCGAGCTCGGCTGGCTCGAGCGTGGCCTTGGTGTTGGGAGGAGACGACGACGAGGCAGGACGCGCCGGGTTTCATCAGCCCCAGCTCTCGCTCTCGTCGACAGCCTCAGAGGCGAGTCAGCTACACTCAGACCTGCTCTGAAGCTCGCTACAAGACCCCGCGACACGCGCACGACTCGCCCCGTGAGCGACCTTGCCGCCGGCTCCTCCCCACACGACCGCCGTGGCCATGGCAGCTGCAGCCCCGCCCTCGACCAGCGCAGGCCTGACGCCGAGCACGTCACATGCCTCGCTCGCACACGCCCACGAGCGTGCAGCCGGCCACGACCACGTCGAGTACGTCCTCCTCGCCGAGTTCGACATCGACCAGGGCTCGCTCTTGCGGCACCAGTACCCGGCCCCGACCGGCACCGACGACCAGTGCGTCCGCTTCTCTCTCTCCCAACCTTCCTTCACTGCCCGCGACGCCCGCCCGTCCGAAGCCCTGACCTCGCGCACCTACCTCCCTCCGCACAGCCTCCTCGCCGAGCACATGCTCCCCGATGGCGCGCACGACCGCCCCGAGGACTGGACCGTCTTCTACCTCAACCAGGTCCCGGGCCTCATCGTCGACCCGGCGCCGCTCGCCCAGGCCCGCGCCGACCTCAAGGGCAAGGCGCGCGCCTTCGACCAGGACGCGGCAACGGCGACGGCCGAGGACGACGGTGCAGCGGTCACGGCGACGCACGACGATGGTGGCGGCTTGCTGTTCGTCATGAGCCTCGTCAGGACCAAGAAGGACGCGAGTGTGCGCAGGTGCGTCCGAGTCTCCCTCGTCCTCTCTATTGCAGACCAGCTCTGACTCTCTCGCACGCAGGGGAGCTCTCGTCAAGGCGCTCGCAGTCGCGACCCGCAACCCGTACATCCAGATCTTCAAGGTGTGTCCCACTCGCATTTCGCCTCTCTCCCCTCTCCCTCCCCCACTGACACTGCGCGTCCCTGCAGCCCATCCTCCTCCTCGCGCTCGAGGACTACTTCAACTCGCCCTCGGTCGAGGTCCTCGCCAACCTGTACGCGTCCCTCAACGCCATGGACACGTCGGCGCTCCCGCTCCTCGGCGCTCCCGAGCGCATCATCCTCCGCACGTCGGACCGCAAGGACTTTTTCGACGACCGCTTCGCCGCCGCCGCCGCCGCTGCTGCGTCGAGCGAGCAACGCGAGCGAGCCGAGGAGGACCGGCTGCACTCGATGCCGTCCCTCGAGAGCCTCGCGTCGGTCCTGCGCTCGCCGAGCGTCGCGACGGCGGCGAGCGCGTCGCGCGAGGACGTCGCGTCGCTCAACGGCGGTGGTGGGCGGTCGTCGCGCGCCAACACGGTCAGCAGCCTCGGCGGCGACGACGGGCGTTCGTCGTGGTCCCACGGCCACGGCCACGGCTACGCGCCGCCCGTCCCTGGCCAGGGCCAGGTGCCGTACCTCGCGCCGACGCGGCAGGACAGCGGCGGTGCTGCGCGCAGCTCGTCGTCGCTCGCCGGGTCCGGGTCGCCGACCATGGTCCGCGGTCATGGACACGCCAACGGCGCAGGCGCACCGGCGAGGCCCAAGGACACGCACTTTTTCGAGACCAAGATTGCGTACAACGGGATCGCGCTGCCCGTGCGCATCCCGATGGCGACGTTTCCGAGCGAGGTTGGCGACGTGCGCCCACCTTTCCCTTTCTCTCTCTCTCCCGCCGACCCTCGACTGACGATCCCGCCCGACCGCCCGGCAGTACTCGCTCATCAAGCTCGTCCAGACCTTCTCGTCCCCAACGGCGCTCACGCCCTCGGCGTTCCACCCTCACCTGCACACGTCGGGGCACACGTCGACGCCGGCGCTCATCGTCCTGTTCAACGCGCTCCTCGCCAGGCACCGCGTCGTCTTTCTCGGGCACGGCCAGCCCGCCGGCCGCGTCGCCGAGCTCGTCCTCGCCGCGTGCGCCATGGTGAGCGGGTGCGGCGCCGTCTTGCCCGGCGTCGAGCGGCGCGCGTTCCCTTACACCAACTTGGCCAACCTCGACAATCTCGAGCAGGTGTGCGTCCCCCTCCTTTTCCCTCCTTGTCCTCCTCCTCCTCGGCGTCACTCGCACGCCCGATCTTCTCTGACTCTCGAGCCTGCACGACTGCAGCGACGGCTTCATCGCCGGCGTGTGCAACCCGGCGTTCGCCGACCGCCCCTCGTGGTGGGACGTCCTGTGCAACATCGAGACGGGCAAGGTCACCATCTCGCGCGAGCTCAAGCCGCCTTCCTCGTCGTCGTCGTCGTTCCTGGCGACGTCGTCGTCGCCCTCGGCTGCGGCTGTGGGCGGTGCAGGAGGAGGAGGAGGAGGGGGAGGAGGCACGATCGGCAGGAGCACGGGCGGGCGAGCGAGCGAGTTTGCCAGTTGGGCCGGCGGGAGGGGGTCCGCCATCGGTTCGGGGGCTGGGGCGGGTGCGAGCGCGGGCATGGACGGGGTTGACGAGCTGGGGCAGCTCGGCGGCGGCGGCGGGGGGGCGGGGTCGACGAGCGGTGCGCCGGGCCGGAGCGACGGCAAAGAGTCGCAGGACGTCCTCTTTATGGAAGAGGTGCGTGCCCTCTCCCCTCTCTGCCTCTTCATGGCCGCCGTCGTGCTCACCTGCGCGCCCTCGTACCCAGATCATCAACTCGATCCAGGCGCACTACGGCGAGGCCGTCATCCGTGCGCGCTTCACCGACTACGTGTCGCGCTTTGTCCGCCTCGCGTCGCGGTACGAGGAGGACTCGACTTCGACGACGACGATCGGGTTCGTCTCGGCGCCGTTCACCGCCGCCGCCGCCGGTCGTGAGGGGGACGCCTCGCTCGGGAGCGGGATCGTGTTTGCCGACGAGGCGGCGGGCGCGAGGGAGGTGGCGGCGAACGGGCCGAGGATCGAGGCGTGGATGAGGACGCCGTCGTACCACGCTCACCAGGCCGTGCGTCCCTCTCTCTCTCTCTGTGTCTCTCTTCTTTCTCCTCGGCCTGTCCGAGCCTCATTGACGAGCCCTCGCGTCCCGCCACGCACCCCGTAGGCCTTCCGCCGCCAAGCCCAGCACGACTCGCCCTTCCCGCCCTCGTTCGACCTCGTGCACCAACTCGCGCGCCTGCGCCTTTCGCGCGCCGTCAGCCCGCCCGAGGCCATCCTCATCTTGCGCACCCTGTGCGACCTCGTGCGCACCGACGCCCAGATCACCTCGGTGCGCTCCCTCTCCCTCCCTCCCTCTCACGCGCGCCCGCTCGCTGGTGTCGTCGTCCTCGTCCTGCGCGTCCTGCAACCGTGACTGACTCGTCGCATCCGCCGTCCGCAGCTCCTCGCGCACCTCCCGGCGCACTTTGGCGGGCTCCTCCCGCTCGCCTTTGGGCTGCTGCACCCGTCGCCCGAGGCGAGGCACTACACGCTCGAGCTGTTTGACCGGCTCGCGGTGCACCCTGTGCGTCCCCTCTCTCTCTCTCTCTTTCTTCCCCTCTCTCTCTTCCTCTCTCTCTCCCTCTCTCTCTCCCCCCCTCTCTCTCTGCCTCTCGTTTCCTTTGACCTCCTCGGTCCCTCGCCCTTATTCCCCTCGCGCACAGACTGACTCGTCCCTCTCTCCTCCTTCCCCTTCCTCTCTTGCCCCTCCTCCTCGCCCCTCGCCCCTCGCCCCTCACCCTCATACCCAACCACCCTCCGCATCTCCTACGCATTAAGGACGCGCACC